TACTTTCACCAAAAAACGACTTGATTATTATAGGATTGTGGTACCCATTTGCTTTTTTTTATTAACCTAAAATATATAGGATTTGACGTAATCAAGAAAGATAAATATATAGTTTGAAACGAAGCTAAAAGTAGTGAAGGCCACAAATTAAATTTATTAAATTCATTTCGTGTGATCATTTTTTATCTTGCATTGCGACCTCATCTTTAACGGTTTAACAAATTGAATGGAACATTACGAATTACGTCGTAAGCGAAATTGACCTACAGTATTGGGTGGGAAAGTGTTTTTTTTTTAACTGTCCAATCGTATGTTAACACGTGTCAGAATGTAGAAAATGATGTAAAACAAGATGTACTGTAAAAATAGTNTAGAAAATGATGTAAAACAAGATGTACTGTAAAAATAGTAAATAAAAGGTGGGTAATTTATAATTCGTCCAATTGTCATCCAAATGCTCAATGGTAGTGACTTGATAGAGATTTTATTTGGAAAACAGAGAAAACTCACCAAGAAGATTCGGTTAAACCACTGTTTAATAGCCAAGTGTCCATCCTGTCCCCCGTAAACCTTAAACATCACACTCACATCGGTTCTCCTTTCCTCACCTGTCTCCCCAACCTTTCTTTCTTTTTTTCAACCTTTCCCTTATCCCACGCTATGGACTTGTTTGGTAGGAGAGAGAATTTGGTCCAACCGTGGTTTTCAAATTGTCTCCATCATATACTCGAGTAAAAATATTAATTTATTGAGTCGTTGTTTTAAAGTCGTGTCAAATGTCAATATTAATCGCAATTCAATCGGTCGATTCTTATCATGTTCGTCTAGTTCTCATTTGGATCGATTGACAAGTCAATTTGATTGATTTTTAGTCCAATAACCAGTAAAATCCTATTTTAGAATAATACATTACGAGATAAGAAGGAAAAATATTCTTTTATGATAATGTTTAAGATCATGGAGGAAAAGACAAAAAAATGTAGAATAAATTAATATGTTACACATCTTGTCTAATATTATATTAGAGGAATATTTCTTAAAATAAAAATGTAAGTCATAAACATTTTCCTTGTCCATGCACCATCCATCTATGACCATGTTTGGTAAATGCAATGCTAATGTAGTTGAGAGAACTTGGATGGGTGAAATATGCAAATGTTTGAGTTTCTATCTTAATAAAATTACGAGTTTTAAGATGATGTTTCGTTATCTTTCATCCATGTCACGTTTGACACTGAGAATACTTATCAGTAATGTCTTGTTGATATGGAGACAAACGCAGTTTGATTTGCACGATTTTTGAAGTATTTTCAAGTCAAAACAATTCTGAATAGTTTGAATAAATTTCAAATCAAACCAAACCATTTTTTACGTTTAAGTTCCATTTCAGATCACGATTTTGGCAAAATCTCAATATAACACTTAAAATTTACACATTCTAACATTTGACACTATAATAATTGTATATTTATCTCAACGCAAACTTAAACTAATAAATTAATACAAGGCTCAGTCATAAAATTTAAAATTTTATTTCATTTTTTGTGAAATAAATAAGAAAATTATAAGAATAAATTATCATTTTCTTAAGAAATTAATCGAAGTCGACTAATAAATAAATTTTTTAAAGTAAAATTTGAATTAATAAATAAATAATTCTCGTGTAAAACGAATAATATTTTTTTAAAAAATTGTGTGAATGGTTCGACTAAGCTATCGAAACCTAACCTGAAGTATTTCCGAACGATTCGACTTTAAACTGAAATATTGACAGTTCCCATGGACCCAAATTAACTGTTCACATTGTGAATACCGAACACTCCATTGAAATTAAATTCAATTTTTCCTCCTAATATTGAACAAAAAAAGATGCCCTTGATATTAAATTCAATTTTGCATCCTTTAATTTCTTAGTCCATAGTTGATTTCAAAATTGCAATTTTGACTCGGGTCGGTGGATTGACCTTTTTTTTT